GGATTTTCAGCCTGGAATGATGACAACTAAAGTATTATATTCCATGTCAGAACTTCTCAAACTTCTCGTCCATCCGTCTCATTCACTGATGTAATGTAACGATGAAATTTGCTAGAATAAGTCTTGAGTTTTCTCAAATTTCTCAGCTGTCGCTTCCACGCGTTTCCCTATACATCAAATCTGTCATCGGCTGTTTCCACTTATCTTGTGTATGTGTCCGTTCCTTTTTAAATTTGTATCAGAAGCTTTATTTTCAAATTGTGACCTTGTGACGCGTTTTGACCTCTAGAGAAAAACCTTGATGCATGAATGTCCCGGGTAGTTTCAAGTGATATTTAAAATTTACTTCAATCCAGGAAAAAAGGTTTTGCACACAAGCTTTAGCCTGCATAATAACAAAAATCCAACTATTTTATAATTTTCGTCCATGTTGAAAGGGGTGGAAATTTCTGGAATTTGGTTCAAACATTCATTATACATAATATTTTACAAATACGAGGGGTTACACGGTTCCGCGCGGATCATCATGTTGTTGCTGTAGGGAAAGCTTCAAAATTTTAAAATTGAATGTTTGAAAGCCTGTTTCAACACATGGATCAAAAGGGCTGAGAAGTGTGTAAAAATTTGTGTTGATTACATTGAGAAGGTTTCTATCTAGCCGATATAGTGAACATGAGAAAATGTTTGTTAAAATCCCTCATGATCAGGTCATTTTCAAGTCCGCGCGAAAACGTGTAACCCCATTGCTTTAATGCTTCGCTTCGAAAGTTCGCACACATGCTGCTTTCAAGAAGATTCAATTGTACTAACAATTAACCATGCTCATCATCAAAATTATTGAATAATCTGGGATAACTGAGAACACAGCAACACTTTCCGTGCCTTTAGATGTCCACTGTCACGAGAAAAAAATGCATCCGGCAAGAATCTTCATTTTTCAATTATTTATGATGACAGCATTGATCTCCATTTTTTCAGTTTCACCCGCATTAAAAGCTTGAACATGAATCCAGGAATATGAAGACGCAATGCGAAAAGCTAGACTCCAAGTAAAATCCGCGATTCTTCCGCTAGTATAAAAATCCATGCTTAATGTTCATATGCGCATAATCGCCGCATTTCCAACGAATTGCGATAACATGAGGTAAAGCTGATTTACGACGTGCGTTTCTGCAGAGATGGCCTCAAACGTGCTAAAGACCTCGCCTAAATTACGCTTAGACAAATGCTCCTTGTACAACAATAAATAAAAATGTGCGAAAGAATAAATCAAACCTGTCTGACTTAGACAAAGACTCTGGAGCCTCGCCAGGTAAAAAAGGAATGTTCTTCCCAACAACCAATTTTTCTTTTCCTCCGCCAACTTCTTCTTGTCGTCGCTGAAAGACCATCTTGATGGATTATTTCTCGCTCCAAAACGATGCCCAACATATCATAGTAACGAGTCGTCGGGCGATGATCAAAAGCGCTGCTGCTGCAGCTAGTTCGCGTAATACGACCTATGGGATAGATGGTCTTTGCCTTGAGGAGAAATGTTTATCTGCCTGGAAAGAGTAACAGTGCTTTATGCTGGATTGCTCGACGACTTGAGCATCATCAAGAATATGACTTGATGGTCGGTATAAAATGACGCGAAAAAGAAAACTGCGTCTCCGCGGAATGCCGCAGAAGACCGTCATAAAAATAAATATGTTCACAATTTGACGTGTTTCTTTTTGGAACTGTTTCAGCAAAATGCGCATTTAAGAATATTTGCAGTTTCCAGAGCAGCTCATCAGTATTTAAGCCCTACAGGGAAAATCTCCCTTAGGTACGCTTTTTAAAGATTGCACTGCCTGGCTGTGCACATTTTCAAGCCATGGTATTTGTGAGATTACTCAGTCAATCACTTCAAAGAGGCTGTCAGATCAAATTTGATGCGATTTCCATCCAAATACATGTCGCAGAAATAAATTCATCCATGAATTTAGGAAGTAGGCTTTTTAAAGGGACTGGGTTGCACCAGAAGTTTGTGCATTAGTGAGATGATAATCTCAGGTGAAGGTTTATCAGATTCCCATCACCAAAGAAATGGTTGATAGGTTTAAAAAAGTGAGAATATTTCAATATCCATCGGTTGGATCAATTTTTATACAGCATTATAACAGAAAAATTAGAGAATGTCTTAAACTTTAATTTTAGACCTGAGCAGATTTTTCTAGGTCTGAAATTTGAAAAGTTTTGTACTTTGGTATTTTGCGCATTGGGAGTTGCGCCATACTCAAAGCATTTTTGTTTGCTGATTTTATTTCTTTTGCAAGCAAGTTTTGATTCTGCAATGCATGATTCTATTTGGGAATTGTGTGTGGGATTGTTCTGTCATGAAATCTGTGATGATATAATAATAAGTCCTTTTTTCAAATCCAAGGAGTGAGGATGATACTTCAGCTTTATTCATTTTTACCGCCATGCATGCTGTAGATTTGCACTTCAAATTAAAACCCATTGGAGGCAGGGTAATCGCCTGAGCACTCAGATGTGTCTTGCATCATCTGGGTTGTGTTTTTTAAACAGCTAAAAATATTTAATAAATACTGTAATTTTCATTTAATTTTTGTAGCAATGGAATGCCTACAGAAAGCATACCTTCAAAAGTATAGTAATGACATTACCTTAAGCTTGGCCAAAAACAAAGGTCTGAAGTTTTTTCTAGCTGAGGTTCCATGACCATAATTTTAAGGAAATTCTTGGCTTATTTTTTGGCACATTAGAGAATAAAAAGAGAAGAATTGTTTGATAATCTAGCTTTTCTGCCTCACTATGCGGCTCTTACGGTGGGAAAATCATTAGTTTTTTTAATTGCCGTCAGCTTGATAAAAGGAAGCAAACACAAATGAAGGAAAATAAATTCAGGGGATATATCACAGCTTGAGAATCGAAAAATCTATTTTGGTCCTCCCTATTCACGATTATCGTTTCCCGCATCTTTTTCAATGGAGTGGTCAAGCAGCTGAAAAAACTTCTCTAATGATCAGGAAAGCAAGATGAAATATTTTGATATCTGCCCCAGATTTCAGATAGCTCAAAAGTTCATCCGCTTTCCGAACTGCCATCCGAAAAGAAAATCTTCCTCTATTTCGCTCATCATCAGAGGATCAAATCGGACGCATGACTTCTTGCAAAAAGTCGTCCGAATCATTCCACCAGAAAACAACCTCCGACAACCTCGACGACAACTGGGAATGAACCAGGGAAAATATTTTTCTTATACCATGTCTAGAATATATAGTAGCTATACTCATCCCAGGAGAAATGGAGCGAAGAAAATCGACGAAGAAGCAAAACGTAATCTGAGATCTAGAAGCCATGATTTTTTATGCCAGGAACTCTTCTCATCCATTAAGAGATTAGCTGGAATAGCATGTTCTGAAAATCACGCGACACTTAGATGTTAATTCCTGGAAACTATTTCACGTCGTCTATTTCGCACAATTTCTGAAGTAAAATGCTAGGAGTCCTCTTTTACACAAAAGAGGTAGGAATGGTTTTGGTATTTTCGTGTTTACTTGGGAAGAAAATATCAAGAATTTCCGTTGAAAGTGAAGCTGACTGAAATCCAAACTCCTTCAACCAGTTGAAAATATAATATCATGATTTGAATGGCGTACATGGATTGATTTGTTATATCGTATGCATCAATTATCGAATGAAATTCGTACTTCTTTCCGACGTTTTCGAAAGCTCTTTCGTTGATTTAAAAGAGGTTTGTTCTATGTGGAGAATGTCAAGTACAGATCACGAGGAGTTTAACTGCATAAAAAATGAATATCACAAAAGCAAAATTCTTTGTTTAAATCTGATTCCAGCTTGGAGCTTGCGCAATGGTCTAAAATCTCTTCACGAATTTTTACTTTTTAACCTTTTGAAATCTACAAAATGTCGGGTTAGCTCTCAAAATAAGCTTATTTCAAGTCCCTTATTCTTTAAAGGCTAAGCAAATTATATAATCGAACTGCCGGGTTGAGCACTTGCTAAATCCCAGCACTCCGTGCAAATAGTATTAAGCTATTGTGTACCTGTCCATTATATACTGGAATCCGGAAATAGTACGACTGGTTTTACTAAACTCATTTATAGTTCCGTATACAGTATCTCTTCATTATATTGTTTGTTGAATTTCCGTGTCGTTGTCTCCTGACTGAATATGAAAGGCTTTTTTGTTTTTTACGAGAAATTGGGCTTTCTCTTTCAGTACTACTGATTTTTTTGAAACCAAAATGTACGGTTACGTTGAGATTTGATAAGTGATTCATTTCGCATTCTGGATTTCATGTAAGAATGAAAGCTCAATTCATAATTCTTACTTTATAGTTTGGCAATTTAAATAAAAAAAAACTGTGTCTCAATAGCACATTAATCGTTGTCTGTGTATTTTTCCATGAAAGAAGCAGATCCTAGAAAATCAATGCGCACGGAAATTCGCGATGATGCGGTTATCCCTGGACTTATTTTGCATGCTATAATTATAGCATGTGCAAATTTTACAGCGTTTTTTAGCACGCCAGTGCTGGACTCTGTGAAATTATTCAAAATTACAGACTCACTCATTCCATTTTAAAGGATAATGAACGGTAAAACAGGAGGTATAGACCTAAGGAACTTTCGTGCTTATTCGTGCTGCGGGAGCAGATTACTTGAAGTAAGAAGAATCACCGAGTCCTTCACGTGGGATGAAAAGCGTACCTGATGATAGTGCATCCCTGTTGCAGCCTAAAGGCTCTTCTCAGAAAATATTTATCACACCCACGCAAAACCCTGTTTTTTGTTTTTTTTGTTCGAAACTACGGATATAGAGAGGGTTATTCAGCAGTATTTTCCTCAGCGACTCATCGCGTCTGTTTCCGAGGAAGGAAGAAATCATTCTCAGACGAGGAAAAGATTCGGAAATGCCCTCAGGCGGGGCAGGCTTTAGATTTGCGAAAACGGAAGTTTCAGGAAGCGATTCCGACTTAGATTGGAGATATTTTCAGCGAAAGCTCATCTTTTATTTCACCCTTTTTTTCTCCAATTTTTCCACGAGTGTCATCTCACGATTTTTTCACAATCAATCAACTGAATGCCGCAAAGTTCCATGAAAAGTTGCTTTCATTCGTCCGCATTCACATCATGGATTCACCGGAATTTCACTCGCATCTTCTCCTCTGTTTTTGCTTAAAACTTTTCAGTCGTTGTCAATGTTGGTTTCTCGTTGAATTTAAAAGTCCTACTCGCATTACAAAATGTGTCTTCGAGGCATAAGAAGACAAAAATGTTTATGCCTGGCCCCATGCTTCTTGTTGGGAGGATATAACGAGGTGCATTGTTTTCTTCTGCTTCTTTCCTGGAGCTGCGTTTACATGGGATAATCTTCAGCTTTCTCAGGTATATACCTCCAGTTTTATGTACGACCTGAAATAAACCCAGAGATAAATAAAGAAAAAAATTGCATTTACAAGATATGCAGGATGTGTCCAATTTCCTCACGCGAAAGAAAGCACTGTAATTATTCCCCGTTTTGACGATTGATCAAATTATGTTATTTTTTCATGCATACTCCATCTTCAGTACGTATATTCCATCTCAAAAAATCAAAGTACTGCTGTATCGTAAAATTACGCGAAGTCTGTTATTTCAATTATTTCGTCTTCATATTTGAAATTGACATAAATTAAAATGCTGCACTTTAAATTAAAACCATTGATGATCTTTCATCGTCAATCGAAGATGTTTTTTTAAATTTTTCCGAGCACCTGGTCCCACAGAGATTTTGAAAGTTATTTTGGAAAATCTTCAAATAAAAAAAACATTAGAACCGAAAAAAGAACCAGATCGTCCTTTTTAATCTTGATTACATCTTGAGTGAAAAAGTTAAAAAATAAATCGGCGTGCGGAATTGAGACACCACCTGTCGTATTTAGATTTCAGGAACTCACTTCCGGTCGCCAGTCACTTTCTTCAAGTGTGATGCAAGACCCCTTTCGAATGGGGGTATTTGCTGGAGCTTCTTGCTACATTCTCGGAAAGTCTTCATCGTCCATATCTTCATTGCTGATGAGAAAGCACGTGTCAGGCAGGTTGTAAGAGATGCTGATGAAAGCCACGTCAGAAGTTGTGGATGTCGAGTTGAGCAGACGTCGTTGCGAGGCCGAGTCCCAACTCTTGCCTGTGACTCGGAAATACAGACGACGGAAAGCAAACTTCCCACTAAAGCAAATGAAAAAGAACTTGACAATATATATTATTTGATTCAGGTAATTCAATGACTCAATTTACCTTCTGATGAGGCAAGTGAGGATGCAAGTGCAACTTGCCACACTGGCCACGACGCAGATGACCAGCACACTTAGGTAGTCACTGCGAACACCCAGAAGCCTAGTGTAACCCTCTTCTCGGGTCCGCACTCGCAGTGTTGCCAAGGGGATTGAAGCGGACTCAGACACCACACTGAGTCGGAAGTCGTATGTCTGCCCAGGCTTCAGAAACTGCCAAAAATATTGCAAGAAGCAATTTGAATCAATAAAAAATGAAATCAATCAAAGTCATTCACAAAACCCATGCGACGAACAGCAATAAGAGGGCATTTAGGAAAAAAAATATCCCGCTTCAGTGTTTTGAGGTTAAATTCTACAATATTCAGGTTTTTTAATATTGTACAGTACAGTACTTCAAAACCTTTTTTGCTATTTCTCCAGGGGCTGAGTTTACTGCCAGCATGTGATGCACTAATCTTCAGCTTCCTCTCTTATTAGGGTACAAATTATTATTCTTATATACTATCACGAAGATAATGATAAAAAAATTGGTGAGCACTTGATACGAAAGCGACGGATATTCAATTCTATCCTTTACAAGTTTGGTCATCATTTCTGGGTTCTGTCACTTCTGCGACAGACGGACCACCAATAAGTAAATGTAAGAAAAAAACTGATCCAAAAAAGGAATAAATTAGAACACTTCTTGTTGAAGTGTTCATTGGTGAAGAAGAATGGCATGTATCCTTCAAAATTAAGATGATGAATGCGAAGAAAGTTGTAAAACAAAAGCACGCAATTACACGAAAAGAATAGTTGAAATGTGTTTCCCCAAGATCTAACTTTTTTGCAATATGCTGAATACAGTAGTGTGTGAAAGGATGGAGAAATGGAATTTTATACGTTTTCTTTTGCAGGACTTCCAAAACCCCGAATGTACAGTAACATGATTAGAAAAGACGGAAAAAGGGCTTCGTGAAATCCTACAGGCTTTTAATCTTTTCTTTTTACATTTTGGATTCTACGCATGCAGTTTTAAGCAAGTAGGATTCAGTCTGATCCCAGGCTTCTCATAGAGTCCCATGAAGATTGAAAAAGTGTACCTCTCTTTTTAAAAATTACAAACTCAAGTATGGCTCTATTCCAACGTTTATATTTCCGATTTTCGCAACGAACAAGACTGGAGAAAACTCTCATGGCATCCAAAATGTTTTCTCCGGCATTCTATGCTCATACAACGCATATTAAAAAAAAAACATTTTAGCTAAACGTATTCTCAAAAATGTTTAAAAATGGGAAGTTTATTTTCAAAGTTATTTCGGTCCTCTTCTGAAACTTCATGAACCAAAGTATTCAGCAAATTGATTCATATATATTTGTTCGGTATAGAAGAAGAACCTATATACCCTTTTCACTCTTTACAGACTTGCATGGATCAAGGAAAATCCGTTGCCATTTTTCCTCTCACGCATTGGCAAACTATTGCAATGTCCGGCGATAATCCGCCAGAAAAACTACATCTTTTCAAATAAAAAGCCCGCATGACATGACTTGAACAAATTTTTGCTTTCTCATTCGGTCCTTTCAAGAGCCTTTTACTTAAAAAAATTAAAAATACACTGTATGTCAAAATGTACGGCAAATATTATTATATTTATAATTTAATTATATTTTCCTCAATTATATTTGCATGAAGATTGATTTACCTGAACAGTGAAGGAATGTGTTTTGAGGTGCGGAGCGACTTCGAGTCTGTGGCTGAGAATTAGCCTGTGGCTGAGGTCAGCATGTTCCAGCAGCAAAGTTGTCGCCAACACACTGGACCCATTCCAGGCCAATGTGACGAACCTCGCAGCGATCGTCGTCGCCGACAGCGACACTGGCACGTCATCGACAGTGAGGCTCAGGGTTCGCGTGGCAGCTCCTCGCGGATTCCGTGCCACGCAAAAATACTCCCCGGTGTCATCAACGCGCAGAAATTTCATCACTAGCTTTCCGTCACTCCGTTGACACACTGTCGACGTTGAGGAGCAGTTTTTTGACACTGGATCGGATCCCCGACGAGACCACGAAACCTCGGGCTCCGGGTTCCCGAACCCGGAACATTGAAAGCTGGCGTGTTCGCTGATGAAAGCGTGCTTGTGGGCAGGGAACATCGGGTACAGCTCAGCACCACATTCCATGGCGTCTTCGGCTGGAAAATGAGAGGACGATTTTCATTTTTCATCTAAAAAAGAAACCCCGCGAAAGTTTATTTGTACTCAGCAGCCGCTTCAGAAGTTTGGCTGAACATCGAAATCGCAAGGGAGATATAAATTTGTGTTATTATATGTATCAAAATTTCGATAGTATTCGGATCAGTCCTAAACGAATCAACAGAAGTATGAGCAACTTTCCATCTTATTTTTTCGAAACAGTCCTGAGGAACTAAATATGTGAGGTATATTCTTTCGATACTGGAATGATCTATCTCTTCGCCGTCCGAACGAGAAATTGCAGGACATATCGAAAAGTTCTCGAACAATTCTGAACTTCCCTCCACAAAATTTTTGGGATTTTCTTTTCTCGCAAAAATAGGCGTGGAACCTGAAGAACCCCATTGAGGAGTTTGATATTTCGATAACCTCTGAAGGATATTTTTTCATAAGTCGGAACTAGGCACAAAATGTAACCTATAAATCGTAAACCAAGCAGAGAATAGTTGATGGTTATAGGTTCATTTTCTAATATTGATGCATTCAGGATGATGCACAACTAATTGCAAATGGGTCAACTTTTCCCGATTATCCACTTAATATTTTTCGAAAACCCCGAGATGTCCATAACAAGTTCAACAGATTTAGTTGAAATCAGATGTTTTATTATATTGCATCGGGATCATTCGGCTTTGTGTTCAGCAAGGCTCGTTTTTAACATCAGAAAATAGGCATTCGGATGAATAGATCTGATAAAAATACTACTGTATACAGAAAATATTTTGGTACAGATTTTCGATTGTGCAATATTGGAATGCTCTTTTTTTTCAAGATCGGAAAATTCAATATACTTCGGGCACTCAGTCAGCTCACACATATCCCCGGCCAACGATTTTCCCGCCCTCGGATATCTAATCACATTAAAGTACTTCCGTATGTTATCATACATGGCCTTGGAATATTTATCTATAAAGACTCACCCACAGATAAATTCATTGATTCCGCCGATGAATCAAATAGGGACGTGGAAGCATTCGCATGTTGGCAGTCAGTGACGGAAGTATTGAGTAGTGGGTCGAAGCTCGTATAAAGCCATCGGTTGTAGCAGGAGCAGGAAAACGGATTTCGGGTCACATCCAGGGTACGGAGGTTCGGAAATTTCCCGCGGGAGATTTCCTCCAGGGCCACCAGGCCATTGGAATCCAGCCGCAGCTCTCGCAGCATCGTCAAATTCCTATACATCAGGATATCCACTATTCGATTAGCTCCACGCCAAAGAAAAAAAGGAAAAATAAACATTGATCCAAGGAAAGGAATTATCGCTTTGAATATATCACGTGGAAAGTCGGGAAGTTGTGGAACAGCTCTCATTTATTGCTGAACACATTGTGTTTCAATGATGAGCAGCAATCAATCATTTGAAGATTATCAATAATAAAATTGTCATCAAAATCGTTGCTGGAGTTTTTTCAGTCTTTTTTTGTTGGGATCATGATGCATCATTTGACGGATTCAATTTTCACTGATACATTTTTGAAAATCCTGTGAAAATTCTTCAACTTCAGTCACCCCAGGTTAAAATGGAGAGAAAAGCGCTTAAAAACGTCCATGAGTTTTGGGAGTTTTTTTTTTTCAACCAGTCAACGTTTCTTTTATCGAATGCATGAAAAACATTTCTAACAATAAAAAAAATCTTCGTTTTAGAATTTTTCATTGCTAAGAACTATATTTTAAAAAGACCCTTTCATCTTGGGAGGATTTTTTTTCAGTCCATGTGAAATCACACAATTTCCAACTGATGGTTCTTATTGGAGATAATGCTTCGGAAAAAGCAAAGTTTTTCCAATACTGTAATATCCGAGAAATTTTTTGGTCTTTGAAATTTCTGAGTCCCAATCACGGGAATCCGAAGATGAAATGTATTTTAAGACACTGAAACACGCTTCCGATGATCCCCATATTTTTTACATAGTTTTTTTTTTCTTCTGCGGTAGTTTGGAAGTATTCAACTTCATTGATCAAGCCTTTTCGGGTGTTTCATTAAACAAAAGTCCGAGTGACATTTCGATAAGAAAAATGTTACCTCGCGAATTCCGGATGGATGAAAACGAGGTGCGGATTGTGGTTGAGCACCAACACGCGAAGTTCCCCGGAATTGGCAAATGCTTCACTGGACACAGTCTTCAGCCTGTGTTGATGACTGATGACGATTTCCTCTGCTCTCACACCCACCAAATCCCGGCTGTCTAAATGCGTGAAAGCATTTGCACTCAGCAAAAGCTTCGCAATAAATTCTGCGCTTCTCAGCGCCGCCGAAGGAACGTGGTGCAGGGAATTATGCCCAAGATTCAGCGTTCCGTTCAAACGTAGCCCTCGGAAAACCTCAGGAAGGATCTGCAAAAATTTTTCGCATGAAAGAGGTGCTTGATATACACTGTTTTTTCTAAAAGGGGCCCTGACCTTGTTGATCTTATTGTGCGAGACGTTCAAGTGCTGCAAGGACCGACCCTTGGCAAACAGCGAGGGGCTCACGAGGCTGTAAATCCCGTTGTTGGACAGGTCCAATGTTCGCAGCTCGCCGAAGTGGTGAAAGAAGTGCGGTTTCAAGTCAGCCATCCGATTTCCTGCAAAAAATAATAAATCAAAAACCCCCGACCATCTTCCATCACTTTAAATTTTAAAATATCTCTTCCAAAAATTTCAACCCAGCTTCCCCCCGGAACGTCCGCATTTCTGCGTAATTGCGAAAAAAATCAATCCCAAATTATGCGAAGGAATTTGAAGATTCTATTTCAAACAGTCTCGAAAATTCGACGCAACTTCATGAGTAACCCGAAACGTATCCTTCGAATGAGATCCCAGATGGCTTAATGTAATGAACGGGTATATTTGCATATTCCCTGTGCAGGCAAATATTAATTTGACTCCAGTACTGACCGGAAACGTTCAGGTAATTCACAGTACTCGGCGACATGGTCCCAGTGAAGGAGTGGATTTTGTTGTCGCTAAGGTCGAGTACTTTCAGCATCGGAAAATAATTCAATGCTGACACGTCAAAATGCTGCAGACGATTCCCTTTCAAACTTAATTTCACCAGCACCGGCATTTTCTCCTGAAATGGTTGAAATCATCAGCCAGACGAAGCGAGTCCTCCATATCAATAAAAAAAATTACGAAAACTTAAAAGACAAATACATAAAAATCGAAAAAATATTGCTCATATTCTCTATAAATCGACGCGGTCAATGCGGTTCATCATATTTACCTGGCAGAAGAAGTGATTGATTCTATTCTCATCAAGAATCAAATGAACTATATCGGAATTTGTCAATTCATCACAATCAAAGTCCACTAGAAAATTCTTGCTGAGATCTAGAATGATGCCAGTCCCCAGCAGTGGCCCTAATGTTCTCCCCGAAGTAAGAGCCGCCTTGGAGCAGTCCACGACTCCCTGATGAAGAAGACATTTGCAACCCGCGGGGCAAGGTTGCGGAGTTGCTGGTGCTGCTGCTGAGGAAAACCTTGACAGGTCCGTAGATGAGTTGCTGGATCCCTCTGGGGATCCTGTCACGCAACATGCCAGGATCCAAGCAGCAAGCCACACCTTTGCATCCATCCTGTTGATTAGACGCATTATTTTTCTCGGGGAAAAACATCAAAGGTTGTATACTCTGGTGTGTCTCGGAAGAGGATCTGTATTAATCCAGGTTGTCTGAAAAAACTAAATCTCAGAATTCTCAAAGGTCCACTGAAATTACGACACCGAGTCCTACAAGAATGCCCACGATTTTTTTGTGTTGCATATTGAAGATGTTTGTGGAGAAAATGTTGGTTGTGCTCCGTGAAATTCAGCTTCTTAGTTTTATTTTCAAAATAGAATGGCATACTTTCTTTGATAGAGCGATTCAAGATTTTCTCAGATTTCTTCATTTTCCACCATTTACACAACAAAATGTAGGTGAACACTTTCATCACAACCATTCTCAATAGAAAGACAATCATCTGCACGACAAGCATTTTCTCTTTTATTCGTGTCAGATTTTATATTTGAGGACAATACGTCCTCTATACCACGAAATTCTTTGTAAAAGGTTTACTGTTAGAATCCCGTATCTATAATAAAATACCACGACATGAAAATACCACAGAAACCAAAGTCGGATAAACTAAATAAACCTGTGGTTATAAAATTTGGCCAGGATAGTATTAAAGAAAACGGGAATAAATCCTGAATTTGTAAAAAAAAAATTAATTGCATATTTAGGTAGATTGAGGCATAATGCGTTGAAATTCCAATAACAAGTCCCATATAATTGATTGAAATAGGGAACAATGTTCTTTCGAAAATTATTACAGTGTCTTAATCATGCGATTTCGTATACAGACGGGATTTTGTACTCTAAATTTTCTCCATCGCAATTTCGAAGCTCATTGGGATTTTCTCCGCCATTCTTCGATAATAACAACATTATTTGGTGTTACATGCGTATATTGTTGCTAGAGAGTATATAAAGATATTTTCCACCTGACCAGCAAGCATTAGACACGTATTGTGTCGAAGGTGTTTTACTGCAGAAATATAAGAATACGACACGGACCGGGGAAATGGGTCGGGTCGGTCTCAGGTCACGGGATTGCGTCGACCAGAACTGGGTATCCGAAACTTGCCGAGGCCCACATGTCAGGAAATCCCGAGTTTATTCCGGTGGGTTTTCTCCTCCACCCCCACTGGGTTTCGGGGGTGACACGCCGACGACGACGACGACGAAAGCAGCAGTTGGATCCAAGGGTTCCGACCCCGCTGATTTATCGGCGACGACCCGGGTATTGCCCGCAGGGGCCCCCGACCGTGATCCAGATCTAGGACGAAAAATGTAGTGTGTGTGAGCCCAGGCCCTGAGGCGTTAATGGTCCTTTTCCCTAATGATCCCCGACTTTTGCCCCACACCCGAGCCCTGCTAAATACTGTGCTCTGAATACCCGAGGATCTTGTCGGCAAGACCTTTCATTGCTTGGGATCCTGTGAAGAATCACTGGCTCTCGAGCCCTGCCATCATGCTCTGGTACTAAAAGAACGTCGTTCAATTGGAAACTTTCTCTCTAAACATCACACAAAATCTATCTCACTGATGCTACAACCCTGACTGGCATTTTCCGATGATGCAAACAATTTTCATTTACTTATTTCCAATGCTTTTCATTTTTTTTTGAATGCATTTACAAAATTACAACTGCATTTGAGACATGGGATTCCTGATGGCGGGACATTCTTCGGTCTTCCGAAAAACAAATTTTTCCATCGAAATCATGGGATTGAATAATTCCCAAGAATATGATAACATTTAATAATAAATGCGAAACCTCCAAGCTGTTTTTTTTAAACAGTGTGCAGTATTTCGTTAGTAAAACGGATTTGATCGCGGAATGGTCAGAGAAAATGATGACTTGAATGAATTCACTGATAAAAGCTAAACATTCAAAAGTAAATATCGCACTGTATAATATTTTTACGTGAAAAAAATAAATTATGACGAGTATAAGAACAGCTTTTCATCCCACAAAATCTGCAAAATCATTAGAGTCTCGCTTGTCGACAAATTTCCTCTATTGTAGAACGGATCTGCTGTCTTTCCCACGTGATCCTCAATGCAATACGAGCCTCGGAGGATCATCAAGCAAAATCCCATCAAGTTCATCCCGCAAGACGCTTCTTATCCATCTTAATCTTATTAACAGATGAACTTGGACCCCCTTGAAGGGCAACGAAGGCCAGAATAATTCATTGCAAAATGGGGTCACCCGGATAAGATCCCACTCGGGACCCATCTCTTCTCAAATTCAAATAGGAAGACGAAATATTCAGGGGACTTTTGAGTGAATCTGCATCTTGGGTTCTGATTGTTGTTCAAAATTGCCTGTCACTTACAGCAGTACCTCTTTCCCGTGATGGGCGCAGTTACGCATTTCTCTCGAGAAATGTTCTTCGGAACCCGACAAAAACAACTGCTCGCGGGTTCTATTAATGAAGGGTCTCGTTGGCTTCTTCGTTTTTTGCCCGAAATTAAGCGTGTTTCTAACTGAAAGGTCTGATGTATACAGAATGGCGGACGGAAAACTCATTAAATTAAATGAGATGATGAAAAATCCTGCTCTTCACGGTTCCATGAATTCTCATTTCCTCGCACAAGGGAGCTGTTTATTGATATCGACCACATGGGCTAATGTGGTTTCCCTATAGCCGCAATGCAGAAACCCCTTCCTCTGGCTCTTTTCGAAGTTTATCTCCCTATGGGAAAGGGAAATGCTCGTGAGCATCGTTCGAGGAATCATATCACGTTCATGGCCTAGATAAGAGCATCAACTTTTTCCCAGCTTCAACATCGTGGTTTCCTTGCCAAAGTTCTCTGTGTATGGAAAGAAGGCCGAGTCAATCAGCCATTCAGTCAAGTTTTTGCGGCATTTATTCATCAAGTATGCAATGAACCAAAAGAAACGCTGCTTTTCTTTGTTGATCGAAAAACATGCTTTTGTCACATGCGAATACTCGGCTCGGAAGAAAATTCCCTTCAATCTCCTGAAACATTTTTTGTTTGTTGCGGAGGATATAATTGGGTACTTTAAAACTATAGCCACAAATTGATATATTTATATTCACACTTACTGGATCAGTATTCCCTGACCTTTTAGGTCACGTGGATACAGGCAAAATTCTACAAAACTTTTTGCTGACCGCCAAAGTTAAAAAAAAAAATTTCTAGGGACCGCCAAAGTTTCATAAAATTTTTGCAGACTTGCGGAAGTTTTGCTCAAAAGACTTTCTGGCAGGTATTTACAAGTTTCTGCATCTTTGAAAAAACTGAGTCAAGCACCAGTAAGTGAAGCGACTATATATAGCTGATTCTGTTGTGATTTATTCCTCGGCTGTTTTTTCTGCGTTCGATTGACCTTGAATCGACCTTGACCGCTGCTGGATAGAATCGCAATTGCATCATTCTCAAAGAATTCTTGCTGAAATCAGATAAGATTGCATTTTTGAGGCAGTCATGCAGTGTTCTGAAATGTTGTTCGAATCGGACTTTCACGGATTCTGCATAATTTCCAGAGAGCTAGAATTTTGGCATCTACCCCGGAATGCGTATATCCCGTGTTCGTATTAAAATCACCGCAGACGTGCTGCGTATATGTATATCCATGCATGTTCGTATGTGGGGTTTAAAAAAAAATATATGAGGGGGTGTTGGTATATTTTCCTTCCTTCGGGAATGCTTTTATAACGCGGTGTTCCTTGCTGCTGCTGGGAAACGCTGCTGTTTTGCATGCAAAATGGTTTTTATGACTCGGCGGGCCAGTGGAGCTCATCGTTCATGCTTGCGGCATGGCTGCAACGAAATTGACCCGTCCTTCCCGGAATGCGTAATTTTGTCACGATTGTTTCCCGCGGCTTCCGGGCAAATTTCCCCGGGACGCGAATATTTCACCTCGACGGATGTATTTTCCAATACTTCAATATGCCTGTCCTAAATTACCCAGCGTGAAAACAATAAATCTCGTTGGTTTAATAATACCATAGCCAAGTTAATGCTGAAATTCTCCAACGAAATATATACACGATGAAATTCTCCTCCTCTTCCGACTGAATTGACGCCATCAAATTATAAAAAAAAACGAACTTTTCCGAGCAATGTGACATAGAGATAGCGAAGTGATCTGAAGTAAATATATTCTTTGCGATGGGACATTTTTTTTCATCGTAAGACATACAGATAATTCTGATTTTGATTTCGTGCCATGTAGGGTTGGAACACGCCAAAAAGTCAACTTATATTATTGTCGATCATCAATGAATTTATACTTGAGAAGGTTCTGACCTATAATCTCGCTCTTATTCACCTTGCATAACGAAATTAAAACCTAAAATCCCCAAATATTGTTCTGAGCTACCGAAAATGCAGTTATAGGTAAGTGTGTTGGATCACACCCTGTGTCATGTGACGATGTTGCCATAATATTCTGTTCCACAAAATCATTTGAAATACGAATATAATGAACTGTCCAGAAAGGTTGACTCATCTCCCTGGAAATAATAATTCATTGGACGTGGATCGCTGTCAGAATCTCATTTGCCTCGTATGCCTTTGAACGTTCAGAATAACATGCTTTCAAGGCATGGTTTTCGTCAAATTACTCCTCGGTCCAGAAGAATAATTCGACTATTTTTATGACAATTTTGTATCTATTTCAGCAGTGTGATTCAAACGAGAGGTGGCGATTTGAAATTGTATGTAAACCCTTTTTATAGAATATTCGAAAAATTAAGTTGACTTTATGGCTTATGAGTTTGATGCATTTTAAACGTAGTGCTTGTTTCGTACATCTGCGATTCTCCTTCCTGCGTATAACCTACAGTGAGACCTAGTGAGAAAACAAGTTATACAGACGGATTCCGCTTACCTATGAAAAATTTTCAATTTACTTTGGAAGGCTGAATGTAAAAATAATTTGAAAATAATTTACAATGCAAATGCAATATTCATATCTAAATGGAACCCATGTGGTGCTGGGATCACCCGATGCGCTTTCAGAACGTAAATAAATCATGATTGCATTATTCTAAAATAATTCTTGCTGAATTCAGATTGGAAAACCCTTAAAACAGCTTCAAGGTTGGACTTCAAAGTTGTTTGATGACTGCATGGTATCCACGATAATGAACCCCAGACCTATGCTGGTTAAACACAGATCAATTTCGTAATTCAGACAACAACTTTCGAAATCTCGTCAGGACTTTGAATAAAAAATTCCGTTAGTTGGCGATGGAAACTCGGATATGACAATTTTCAATTCATTGGATAATCGAGGTGCTATAATGAACCTCAGCAGCACATTTACACAGAATACCCCTATATTTTACGGCCAAAAATGTAAAAAAAAATTATGTGCGCTTTCTCGTTCAAGATTGCATTCCCTTCTTACGCGCCCGGGAGCGTAAAAAAAAAAAAAAAATTCTGGCTATGATACCCATGGGTTCGGAGGAAAAGTTTGACCAAGAAAACTTTCAGATTAATTTACGACGAACTTCTTCCTGCTGCGCGTCGGTGCGCGTCTGGGTTTTCTTCTAATGTTATACAAAACACAAGAAAAAACAAGCGATAATTTGAACTTTCTTGAGCATTTTTTTTTCGGGGGATAAAAGCTCGTTGATGTATCGAATTTGGGGCAACGATTCTGAAGGGGGCGTCGGCTTGACGCGGTCGGTAAAATTCGCTAAATTTTTCATCTCTTCCCAGAAGTGGGCTCCATCTTTTTCGTGGGTTGCTTTGTATGAACAGTACTGACACGTGAGGCGAGACCTCATTACTTTTTCACGTGAGAAAGAGCTGAAGGATGAGGAAAAGCATTGGATTCTTGGAAGGAAATGGAAAAGTTCCAGGAGAGGTTCTCGGAGGATAACTGGACTGACAGCCGACGCCGTCCGGGGAAGCAATAACTCACCAGTTCTTCTGGCTCAAAATTTCCTCCTGACCTGTAAAAATCGCTCCACCTTCTACCCCCGCAAGAAGATGAATGATGCCCTGTGTGGTGTCAGAGAGAAAAAGTCATTCCGGCTCAAATTCTGAAAAATTGTTGCCGATTCCCAGGGCTTTAGCCCTTATTGGGCATTTCTGCGCAGTCACGAAATAAATTGTCAACATCTCTCATTAAATGGAAAAATGTGAATTTCTGTAGCATACTCCTCTAGCTTTGGTCTTAGTCTGAAATCACAAGGAAACCCGGGGGAACAGATGTTTTTTTAATTGCAGGGTATCCAGAATAACAGGTTTTACGTTTTGTTGGGATAATATTCATAAACAAGTGTTCCTGCATCTGTCTCTTGTATCATTTAATATTCATTTGGTTCAAATGGACATTAACATGACGCAACAAAAAATAAATGAAAAAGACACAGTGGAACAAAAAGAACGCGCTTTGTTTGCAGAATGATTTATTTTGTAATTTGATGGCAAAGAAATGACAACCATCTCAAGGTACACTGAAAGCCCTATGCAAGTGAAGAAACACATTTGTGCGCAAATTCAAATAAAAACAAATTTAAAATATGTCAATGAGATAAAAAAATAGACAGGATATTGATCCTTTGCAATAAAGGTCCTGTACTCCTGTGTATAGACGGCATTTTAAATGGAATACAAGGTTCAAGGGAGGAAAATCCTTCACTGAGGTTTTCTGAGTGAATTATCTTTAAAAATTATGACCAGTAAATGTATTTCAAAGCAAATACTGTGCTTCTGGATCGAAGTAACCACATGCTTTGGATTGAGATTTGAAGGGGTCATTACAGAAATCACATCGCTTATGCTTGGTTGTATTTGATTGGTACGTGAGCAGAAAGCCATGCAATATTTCCGGATTTTTCAAAATAATACTGAAATTTTTTATAATGCATTTCTCGAAGGGTTTTTTTTATGTCACGAATCAGGATATTGTAGGAAAGCAGATTCAAACGACCCCAGGACTCAACTTACCTTATGCTTTATCTCCGAGCCATTCAGGCTCATGTGAAAATGCAAGAAGACGACACAAAATTGGGCTATATCTGTTTGAAGGAAAAGTGCGCAAATATTTGTGGAACAATCCGAAAAGCTTCGTTTTTCTGGTAACATCAACTGACAAAAGCCAAACGCAATTTCCCAATGAA